TGGAGCTATCCAGATCATTCTATGAAGAACATGTAGAGCTCTAGCAAAAGAATTCTTCCATCTATGCCTGTATATTAAATACTGTTTATAAAAGCAGGATTACAAGAGCAATATCCCTTGTTTAATGTAGAGCAGTAGACACTGCATAGTGTCTGACTAATACAGTACAGACTCTGCAAAAAAGCATTACTAGAGGTAAAAACATGTAGCATTACCAATTAGGATTATATATTCAGAAAGTGGGTGTAAGAAAACATGCTGTGGTGTTTAATTGTAGCAGGAACTGGGATGTACTTGCTGCAGTGGAAGTGAGTTCAGATTACTTGTGCCAACTGGTTTGTGTTTGTTTGTTAAAGAAAACATGAAAGAGAAAACAAGAGGAGAAATTTATGTGATTACTGATGACTATCACTGCTTGCAGCACATGCCTACGAAAAGTTGAGGGGATGTAGGTGTGGGATTCAAAGTTGAGAATTGTTGTTTTACATGTTTCAATGCAGGTGAACGTTTTTCTAATAGCCAAATTTTAGCGTAAGAATGAAGTTATGTCTAAACTGTCACACTTCTAACACACAGATTCCATTTATGCTCAGGTCTGTGATGTACCTCACCATGTTCAAGTTAAGCTGAGGTTTCAAACCTGTATCTAACAACTGAAAATGTGTATCATTCATTGAACACTAGAATTGAAATATAAATTTATTTTTAAATTTGAATGCAGCTTAGACTATTTGAAATGTGTAGGTGGTATTCTGATTTTTCTCTTTTTTCTGAATTGTCAGTTAAGGACCTTTTTCTATTAATCTTATAATCTGCAAGAATAAAGCATGATATGTACTGTGTAAGTCCTTGTGCTACACAGTATATTTTGCTGCTATCAGCATGGATGCCTCCTGCTTTTTTTAAACTGATATCACTTAATAAAACAATGCCAACTATAGGAGCATAAAATACAGCGAGGTTTAGAAAAAACTGATAAAGCTAGCTCAAAATGGGTGAAAAAGCTATGTACGTACAACAAAGATAAAGCAAGCATATTCCATATTATTCACACAAAAAGGCTGCTATTCTGTAAGAAAATACTGTCAAGCGAGAGAACATAAGAACTTGTTTATCAGAAGAACTCAAGGCCCCTATAATTCAAACCAGCAGATTTTGACTAAATCAAAGGATGGAGAATTTATACGCAACGTTTCAGAACTTGGTTTGAATGAAAAAGTGGAAAGGAATTGCTTTAAAAAAAGCAGCTGTCCCCAAACAAAGCCATTAACAATAATATCCAGAACTCTAATGGCTATAAAGAACAGAAATTTTCAGGCAAGCCTCCTGTATTCAAAGTTCTAAGTTTAAATTTCTTTTTTACTTCATGAGACCAGTTACTCCTTTATTCCACTGCTTCAGGTTGATAGCAATTGAATTTTAGCATCATCTTTTAAAAGAAAAAAAGGGGGCAAAGCATTTTGTAAGAGTCTGAAAAGCAGTAAAAGACCAGACTGTAAGCTTGTTAAATCTATCTAAAATCCTAGCTACAGAAACAAGCATGGTCTTCGCAATAGTGTGGAGAAAACAGATCAGTTTGTGGGTTTTTTCATGCTTTGAACAGCAAATACAGAAGAGGAGACTTCTGTTTCTAGTTGGTACATAAAAAAGGAAGTCAACCTTTGGCTGCGTAAAGATCATTTGCAGTTTAATTTTAAAAAGTGAAAAGAAATCACATAAAATCATACTATCAATTTACAAAAACATTGTCTTCATCTCGCTCTACCACAAAATGCATTGTATTCATTATTGCTTAATTAGCATCAGTTGAAGTAATTCGTCTGTTAGTATTTCTCAAAAAATAGTATTTGTTGAAAAGCCAAAATAAAGACAGAGTTTTACCTTGAAAGCATGTAAGTTCTTCCTGTTGTGTACAGCGGAATTTCGACACTTAGATATTGAATAATAATAATAGAGTTCAGTACAATAGTTTTGCATTGTTCATATGTGGTTGTATCACATAGAGTGATAAATTACAGTGCCACAGGAGAAAATGAATTTGTGTTTTCGAAATTAAAAATAAATTTATGTACATTTTTATTGAGGATATTTTCTTTAGAGTATCTTGGAGTTGGGTGGATGGATTCAAATTCTGAGATCATTCCAGAGTGGACAGCATTGCTAAGATTTCCAAAATCATCATGGTGGAGAGGGGTGAAAGCAGTAATTGTTTGTTATTTTTAAACAGTTTTCTTTGGGTTTGGGGGTTTTGTTTTAATTTTTTTTGTTACACCTTCTGGAGTCTAGGTGGCTTTCCAGACAAGATTTTCCATTTTCTACCCTGCTCGTGAGAGAGGAATTACTTTGAAGTGAATATGAAGTTGTTGTATAGTCACTACTGTAGGAGCTGGAGGATTAAAGTACATTGCAATAGCTAACAGCAGTGGGTTTTAACTTCTAGACTGACTTTTTTTTTCTTTTTTTTTTGTTCCCTTGCTAAAGTTTGAGTGCACGTGTTGTCATTTAAAGCAGTTATAGCAGATTTTGAACAGTGACAGCTGACTGTATTATCAGATGAGAACCAAATTTATGGAAATTGAAATAAAAAATTCAGCTTGTAATGTTTTACCTGATTTTTGTGGAGAATAGAAAGGAGAAGAAAAGAATTGAGGATTATCATGTGAAAATTGTCCCCCCCAATTGTTTTCCTGTTATGAATATAGATAGATAATATGAAAATAGCACACTAATTTTCCGAGGCATGATTCAGCTTGAAACTGGGAGAGGACTGAATATCTCCTCTAGTGACATCGAAGTTGCATTAAGGAACAGTAAAAAAAAAAAAAAAATTTTTTTTGCAATTTCGAGCATTGAGAAGTTAGGAAATGCTGGCCTTAGGGCCTCCTCATTGCAGCCTAGGATGAACACTCTGTGCAATATCGGGCTTTCAGATAATCTGCTTGGATGATGTGCTCAGGTGCTAGCAGTGTAAAATAGACTATGCAGTCCTACCGCTCCCACTGTAGGAGGTTATGTGCCTGCTTCCAAGATGACTTTGTGCTTGGACAGCATTTTCTTCTGGATAAAGAATTGTTAAATCTGAGCAGGGGCAAACCAGATACAACAGTTGAAGGAAAACATTTCTGCGTTTTCCAGTGGTGTGCGGTCTGTTTTTCAGTTAACAGTATGTAGTTGCATTTTGTCGGTTTAGTGCGTGGGGGTTCTTCTGGAATGTAAACTGACTGTGAACTCCCATCTTCTGTGTTTATAAATAATGCAGACTAATACAGAATACTGTGGTACATCCCCTAGCAGCTCAAGTTGCTTTTACAGCATGAAATTCTGCTATTGCCTGCTTTCTAGAGGATGCTGAGTTATGTTTCAAGCTCTGACCTTCAACTTCAGAGCACTCTGTGCTGGGTGCAGGCTATCCAGAAGATCTCCTGCGGATGGATGCTGACAGATCTGCTTCCTTTGCTTAGTGGATATGTTTGCACCGAGGATGTTGTTTTCTGTGCAGGAGATAGTTTATTCGGGGAGAGGAATTAGGTAGTGTGATATGGTGATGAATTTTGTTTCTTCTGCCTGGTGTCTAAAATACATGTGATTTAAATGATCAACATTCAGATTTACAATTAAGCTTCAGCATTGAAATTTCATTTGTTTTAATGTGGAAGAGATTGGGAACTGCTGTTTTATTCCTCTGTTGTGACTAGTGGACTTCTGTGCTAGAACAGTATTTGTCTGATACTCTTATTCAGTGCAACTCCCTGACCATGGTTTAATTTTACTTATTTCTCAGTTATTTTTGCTAGAGAGAATGTACAGTTAGGATGTATCAGTGCACTTTTTTTTTCCTCGTTGTAGTTCTTTAAAACACTAGTATTAACTTTGATCACCACCCAAACAAGCCAGCTGTGTGAATGACATGACCAGTGTGCACATGTTAAATCCTGCCTGGTTTTGCGGGGTCTGAGGTCTTCCTTTGGTTTATGCTAAATAATGGGATTAAATTGTTTAAGAAGATGCTGCTGTTCTGCCTGATAAACCAATGTGGCACCATTTCATTAGTTACTGGCTTTGAATTATGAAGCGTGAAATGGTTTTCTGCAGTATTCTCACTTGCTTTGGTGGGTTTTACTCTGTAACACCACTACAAAGTTCATTGTAGATTACTATTTGTAAAACATTATAATAAAATTGTATCAGTTATATTAAATAATGTTCTACTTGATGTGGATATACAGCTTACTCCATTCTAAGTTCTTTGTTGATGTGCACGAGACCATCAGCTTCTACGCTGAAGTGCTCCATATTAGTTTTAGATGGAATTTAGATGTCTAAAATGGATAATGATCCCCTAAACTTCCCTTCATTGTCTGTGGACCTCTTATGGGGATTTCTGTGATAATATTATATGACCGCTTTTTCCTTAAGCTTTCGAAATTAAGATTTTTCAGTTAATCTGCTTTTTATGGTGTTCAGATGTAGGTAGTAATAAGATTCTTTAAAAAATATATTTAAGACTCTCTGAGAGTCTGAATTTTTTTATAGCATAGATCACTTCTGCTGTATCACTGTATTCATTTGTAATTAGGTAGGCTGACTTTTCCCCATTAACAGTCACTCAGTATTACACTCAGAATTACTGATTTCATCATTGGGAAATTATGGAAATATTTGTTGTATTTGTAATTGTTTTTAAGACTGTTAGGCAGTTGAGGCTGTTTCATTCCAAATAGTTCATTCTAGTTTGCTATGAGGTGCTCCATGCAATACTGTTGTGGAAATATTCTAGACACTTGCTTCTGTGGGGAAGAAAGGTGATACTTAGCAATCTTGCATATCTGGACTCTGTCTTAGAAAATACCCCTGAGTGTTTTCCAGTTGCTTTGGTAGGAAACGTCTTGGTCCTCTATATATATTGGTCATACCAGTTTCAGACATTAATTTCTGTAATTATTGTTTCTATTTTTTTTTTACCATTTTGATTTTTTTTTTTAAAATTAATTTATTTGCAGATGTGATGCAGATCCATCTGCCCTAGCTAAATATGTTCTGGCTTTGGTAAAGAAGGATAAAAGTGAAAAGGAACTAAAGGCATTGTGTGTTGATCAGCTGGATGTATTTCTTCAGAAAGGTATGGTCTTTGTCATAACAATTAAGCTTGAGTGAAAAGTCTGTCTTGTTTAATTCATTCAAACAATCTTTTACCATAGAATCATGCATTTGTCTCTTTATTAGCTTTGTTACTTTGAAATCAGTAATTCAACTTTCCTGAAGTAATTTGTCTTAAAAAACAGGTATATAGCACAATATGCATATATTAGGTATATGTTTTGTATCTATGGAATTCCTGGAAGAAAATTATGAATGTTAAGAGTTATTGCCAGAATTAGAAGTATTGGAGCTCTGCATATATTCCAGAAATATTCTTCCAGATGTTTTATTAAGAGACGTTAAATAATTCAAGGATTGAAAACCTTTGTGAAACATTGTCATTACTGACATGTTTCTTGACTCTGTAAATGTCCTTTTAAAATATAAAATTAGCAGCAGAGTATTTAAAAAAATACTGTTTGTTGTTCTAACTTGTTGGTGAATGCTGATTTTGGTTTTTCTTTTTAATAATTTATTTATTTTTAAAGCAAATATTAACTGAAGTTTTGAATAATGGATATTTGTACACTCTTTACTTTTAGAAACTCAGATATTTGTGGAAAAACTCTTTGATGCTGTGAATACAAAAAGCTATCTACCTCCACCAGAACAGCCATCGTCAGGAAGCCTGAAAGTAGAATTTTTTCAGCACCAAGAAAAAGAGACAAAAAAGGAAGAGGTAGGCATTGATTTTATTTTAAATGTTTGTCTTTTTTTTCATTCCTGTAGTTCAATTATGTGGTTCAACTTCATCATGTTTATTTGCTTATTAATAATAGTCCCAAAACAGCATTAAAATATGTCAGAAGATTTGTGCTGCACATTTTTCCTAAACATAAGTGGGTGCTTCAAAGGTGAACCAAAGTGGTTCTGACTAGGCAAATGTAAATTAAGTTATTGAGTAGTGTAGGAGTTGCAGTACAACCTACATTAGTTCTTTGCTCAGGATTGCTGTTGTAATTATGCTGCCTTTTAATTCAGCATAAATCCAGGCTGCCGTTCCAAATGGCAGTCCTCATTCCTCCAGCTGCTTGATCCAGATAACATCCTTATTCTGACACAAGTGTTTATGTTGTTCTTATGAGTCAGAAGAGTAGGTTTGTCCTTTTCAACAGCAGCCTAGGTTTGGCTGCGTGAAAGTGTTTTAACTGTGATCTGAACCAGCTAATCTGCTGATGAAGAAAAGACCTTACTGTGTCAGTCGTTGAATATTCATGTCACTGAATAGATCTGTCGCTGCACCTCAGTATGGATTTTTGTCCACCTGTAGCAAAAGCAGATGTATTTTTAGTGGAGCACAATAAGTATTGCTTATTCTGCTTTATTTTCTCCCAACCCGTGCTTTGAATATTCCTAGAAATAGAAATCTTAATACATTATGAAGATTCTGTAATTGCATTAGATGCAAAAATGTTGTTTCAGTTCAATGTTACTGCTGACTTTGCTCAGCATTTTGAGTTTTTTGGTTTTATTTGGTTGTGCAGAAGTCTCCATTATAGTGTATGCATGTTTTGATCTAATGTGTATACTTTAAATTCAGATAGTTAAAGAGGAAGAGCGAGAAAAAAAGTTTTCTAGAAGATTAAATCACAGCCCTCCGCAGTCAAGTTCTCGCTACAGAGATACCAGGTAATAAATTTTGCTTAACCTCTTGTATTATATCAGTAATCAGATGGATTTGGATTTTTATGGTGTTACTAAATTAAATATTTTCTTTCTGTATGGTCACCTAATAAGCCTAAAAACAAGACTTTTATTGCTTTTATGCATATGTAGTTAAATGATGAGTATATAAGTGATAGCGTAAACTGTCTCTGAGTTGTGCACAACTATCACATTTGAGTTTTATGATTAATTTTTATGTTGGATTTGCGGTTTATATTACAACACTTACTGCTCTCAGTATTGAGATTGAATTGTGATAATTTTAATTTAGAAGCCTTCCCTTCAGTAACTGTTATCTTTTTGGTGTTTCCAACTTGGAGAAGGTGCTGTATTGGGCAGAAACAAAATCTTACATACATTTTAAAATCTTGTGGATGGTAAAAGTAAAATGAATAAACCAAATAAAGAATTTTAAAAGTCTTCTGAGAAGAAAGGAAGGGCCATAGTTAGATTCCATTTGTAGCCTTTCTCTAATTTTCCATTGCCATTTCTTGAGGTTTTTAATGGTAGTTAAGGTTTTAAATTATGGCTTCATAATTCTTGTAATTAACTTACAAAATTACATGTTTAGAAGCCGTGATGAAAGGAAAAAAGATGAACGTTCTCGGAAGAGGGATTATGACCGAAATCCTCCCAGAAGAGATTCCTATAGGGATCGATATAACAGAAGAAGAGGGAGGAGTCGGAGCTACAGCAGGAGTCGAAGTAGAAGTTGGAGCAAAGAGAGATTGCGGGACCGGGACCGAGACCGGAGCAGAAGCCGGAGCAGAACACGAAGCAGAGGTACCAACAGTTGGTCTCTAAAATACGGTGAATGTTGCCTACAAAATTTAGACACTAAACTTAAAACACTATGTTCAAAATGTACCAAAATTTCTTCTGTTGTTCTTGTTTCTTTGTTTAAATTTAGCTTGGTTTTCTGTGGAAATAAGGTCTATGTGATTATGTTTTCAGTGCGTGTTTCCCTCTTTCCCTCCATTCTTCTCTAATACCTTTGACTGTGTTGGCTACTTTTAAGCAATATTGTAAGAGAGGCAGAAAAATCAGAGTTGATTGCATTTCATTAAGTTTTAGAAAACTCAGAATCTGGTTTGGGAAGATACAGAAATTAATACCCATCTATGGAGGTAGAACTGGCAGAAATTACCTGTTTGGCAGCAAATAACTTGTCAAGCAGAACAGTACAGCTCTGTTCTTTTTGTCTTGTCCCCTGCTTGGTGTCATAGGGAGGGGCTGAAATTATTACAGTAAATATTTGTGTTTGTTTATATATCTGTAGGACTTCAGGCTTCGGTACAGTAGTTTTTCAAATTAAACTTCTTTAAAAACAAAGCTGTTTATTCAGCTAAAAAGAATGCGTTTTCCCCCAATAGTTGTTACTGATAAATTGGAAGAGAGCATTGAGAGTCATTTTATATCTTTACTCTGTCTCAGACTATGTAGAGGTAAAAATAGTCTGGTTTAAGTCTGTGTATTATTTTTCTTTCTATAGAATGGGCCTTGGTAACTCAGCCTTAAAAGTAGGAATGCAGAGTTCCTGAAAATATGCGAGCAAATATTTTCCAAACAACTTATGAACGAGCAAGTTAAATAGCATGCAGCAGTTTAACTAAAAGATTACAATGTGATTAAATCTTAATTTAAGGATTATTTTACATAAACTGCAATGGTAATACCTTATGGACAATATGTTATAGTGAAATCTTTGTTTCTTTTTCTAAGCACATTAAGAAAAGCCTGTTTTACTGACACTTATCTGCCATTTTAAGACATTTTTATTAAAGTTCCTTTAATGTGGGGTTATTTGAGTCTACCAACTTACCTCATGACAGAACTCTGCTGTCTTCATCTGGATACTTACTGTTTATTTGATGGTAATACTGCAAAATTAAGAGGATAGTTTGTGTGTAATCAGAATAAAAGGTCATGTTACAGCTGTGTCTGTGCGGGAGTGCTCCACACCTGTCAAGCACTATTATGTCTCCAGTCATGACAAAGCTTTGCATGTGATAAATATATGCATTTGCATGCAGATAAAATGAAGATACAACAATAAGTGTCTTGAAACGTTAAAGATGTGTAACTTTTATAGTGTTTTCAAGTCATGTTTACCTTTTTCTTGCCCATTGCTTCCCTTTATTCAGAATAACATTCCATCTGAAGTTCTTAGAATATATGCATTACTACAGAAGATGTACTCTGCTTGAAGTTAAATAGGGTTTCTGCTTTACTGTGGGTATAGCTGTTATTAAAATATCCCAGTGGCTGATGATGTACTTTTAAGATAATTATTCTTCTGATTAAACCTTTGGAATGTAGAATCATGGAGTAGTTGAGGTTGGAAGAGACCTCTGAAGGTCCTGTAGTCCAACACCCCTTCTCAAAGCAGATAAACTGGAGCAGGTTGCTCAGGACCCTATCCAGTTGGGTTATAAATAACTCTGAGAGTGGAGACTTTACAGGTACTCTGGGCAACCTGTAGAACATTTCAATTATCTTTTTTATATTTTGAGTTGAATTGATGTGGAATAAAGATTACTTACACAGGTTAGCAGCTGCTTCTGGTGAAAATGTGCAGAAGGAATCATCCAATAGAACTTCTTTTTTTTTTTTTTTTTTTTTTTACAGAAGGGGGTTTAGGAAAGCCAAAATATGATATGGATAGAACAGATCCATTAGAGAACAATTATACTCCAGTTTCTTCTGTGACAAATATTTCGTCCAGCCACTACCCAGTCCCTACACTGAGCAGCACTATTACTGTTATTGCTCCTGCTCATCATGGAAATAACACTACTGAAAGCTGGTCGGAGTTCCATGAAGAGCAGCTGGACCACAACTCCTATGGAAGACCTCCGCTGCCAAAGAAACGCTGTAGAGATTATGATGGTAAGTCTGTATTTTTTTTAATTGCTTCCTGCAGCTATGATTGGCCCCTTTCTGAAAAGATTGCAGTAATTTTCCTTTCTTTTCCTTATCTTCTGTAATGCTGTGGTTTTTCTATTACACAATTCTTGAATGCAAATTTTATCCCACTTTTTATTAACTTAGCTTTTAGACAGCTTTCTTTATTAGTGTTTTTATAGTTTTTTTAGCTGCTAGAATTATTTTATATAGATGAAAATTAGTATATTTATATTAAAAAGTTATAAAAAAAATCAAATTTTACCCAGGTTTTCTGTCTTATGTTCAAGTCAAATACTGTATTTGGTAGTTTTGGCCATGATTAGCACCTTACTGACCTCATCATTTTTTATTCCATCCTAAGAGATAATTTTTAACTAGAAAGGTCTAGAGCTGCAATTTCCCAGGCTCATGTTAACCCATTTTTTCCATGTAGGTGTTTCTTAAAATTGGGTGGGGTTTTGTGCTTATCTATGTCTTAAACATCTTGCATGTCTTGTGCCAAAATTCACACAAGAGGCTGCTGCAGTTGGCAGTGTCCTAGCTAAATTCAGCCAGTCATCCTGTTAGCTCAGAAGAGTTTAAATTTCCCCCCAAAGTTTTTTCTGAGTTGTTTTTTTGGAGGTTGGGGGGGAGGGAGGGTGTTGCTGTTGTTGTGTACCACAATGATGAGTTTAAGATCTAGGCTGGTTTACATTCAGAACTCTGATTGTAATAGAATTGTTCTTTTAAGTAAAGAAAATGGGAGGCTGAGCTCTCAAGCATTGGCAGAGTTGTACTTGTGAAGAATGGTTTTGCCAGTATACGTCACAGTACTCTGGAACAAGTAGAATTGTGAAAGTGTAGTTTTGTTTTGAAGTTTTCTAATGCATGCTGAGCTGCAGAACGTTCTGTCATGGTCTCCCACCACTACAGGTTTTTTAGAAAGGAACAAAACATGCAGGCTAGTATACTTTTGAAATAACATCTCCAGACATGACACTGGGACTTTGTACCTTCAACAGTGTGTCTTCTATAGCAGCTTATTATTTCCAATTTCTGAGTATGAATCAAACAGTAATATGTTGGAAATCTGTGATACAGTTGTCCTCAAATTTTTACTGGTGGCTTTTTTTTTTCCCTACGTTTCTGACTGTTACTAAAATCTCTCAGTAGATGTCTCTTCCATTTGCTTTTCTCATGGCTGTTTATGTCTTCTAAATTTACAAGCTCATCTGTCTCTTCAGTGGATAGTTGCTTCCAACATACTGTTCTTCCATTCTGCACTTTCATATTTTCTACTTGACCCTCTGCAGAACTTCTGTTTTTCCATACAATTTCAATTTATATGTTTTCTAACTCTTCCTGAAGATGAGGTAATACAGACTGCTTTTCAGCATCATGTTTTGAGGAATTTTATACTCAGCTTTCTTCCTATTTTATTGGAAGATGTTTTGAACTTTTCTCCCATATTGCACTGATTTGTATTTTTTTTTTTTTTTTTTTTTTTTGGGGGGT